TCTTTTAGCTAATATGATAATTATCTAATATAAAGTATTATTCAATATTATGAATTGGAATTAATAATAATAATAATAATAATAATAATAATTATTATTATTATTATTATTATTATTATTATTATTATTATTATTATTATTATTATTATACACGAGTTATATGTATAATGTATAAATGATTAACTGTAGTTTTTAATAGATATACGATATTCGAAGAAAATAAATAAATAAATAATGTTTATTTATTATCAATTAAAAGAATAATCGGGGTGTCACGTTTAATTGGATTTAATAATCCTTCTCAATTGAAAATAGAAAATAAACAAAAAAAAAAGAATGAAATTATAAACGAATATCGTTGGTACAATCGATAGTAGTTTAATATTTTGCTGTTTTTGAAGGAAAAAATAAAATAACATTTTTAAATAACAAACAAATAAGCAGAAAATAAAAAAATATAATGTATAAATTTAATGTTAACAAATAAAAAATATACTGATTAATATATTTACTAAAAATATATTGATTTTTTCAATCAATACGATTTGTTAATTCGTTTTTAATTAATTTAATAATCTTAAATAACAGAAGAACAAAAATTACAAAATTGCAAGTAAATAAAATAATATACACATATATTATAATGATCGAAAGCATTTGAATGTGTGGTCTTTAAAAAAAGAAGAAGAGAAAAAAAAGAAATGAAGGAAGGAAGGAAGAAAATAAATAAAAATAACGTACCAAATACGTAGTGTAGATACCTTGTCCCTTATAAAGCAGCAACCACAACGTCGTGAATCATACAAACCACAACACAACACAGTATGCGGTATTCTTTGTGGAAAACGGGGGGTGGTGGGGTGAGATGGGAAAGGTAGGAGATCTTGAATGGGTGGTTTCGTGGTCGATGTATAAATAATAGGATTTCGTACTGACGCGAGAAATATATCCTTGGGTATATAACAATGTAGCTCGTGCAGCAGAAGTTTGGAAAAAACACGTGTTCGAGTAGTGAGAGAGAGGGAAAGAGAGTAGGGTTCGTGAAGAGGATCTGAGAATTTAACAAGAAGAAAAAGAAAAAGAAGAGGTAGGATGCAATATTGATCGAGATTCTACGTTCGTACGTCACGATTCAAGATATGTGAACGTACATACGTTAACACATATACGAATATACATACGTATACTCGTATAGAGACATATTTATTCATCTCTTTCTGTTACAAAATATTCTTACTTCGTGCAATATATATTATTCACTTTTCTTTTTCTATTCAATTATCTTTTACCATCGTAAATTTTTCTAATAGTAAAATACGAACCTTTCGAAGTTGTTCGATGAGGAATTAAATTTCATCTTCGAATTATTTTTCTTTTGATTTTTT